AAAATTAAATATCAGTATTACAGTAATAAAGGAACCTCCCTTTTCCTAGATACATGGATTTTCAATTCTCTTCAGCCAATCAAGAAAAATTTGTTTGACTATATCCAGGTATTATTGTTTGTTTTATATGCCATAAGGAATGATTTAATTTTAGCACAATGGATAGCATTTCCTTGCTTTGTCCAGTTATCAGAGGTCGAAGTTTTTCAGCAACGGATTTGCTACTGACTACTACGATTTGCTACTTACAGTACTTTCACAAACTCTTTATTTGATTATAGCCGTAATATACCTCTTTCTAGAATATGGCTGTTTTATATATATACTGATAAAGCTATCTAGTTATACTGCAGGGCTTAATTTCTAAAATTAGAAGTGCCAGAGGGATATGGAAGATCATCAGGAAACAGGAACAAGAATAAATAAATAAAATGACTAATAAATTAATTGATAATTAAATAACCAATGATTAGAACAATCTAATAATAAAAAATAAAATTTAATGAAGTGTAAAGAAATAAATAAAAATTTAATAAGTTATTAAACAAATGGTAAATAGTCAAATAGTAAAAAAGTACTGGACTTATTAGAGTTGCGGCAGGAATTTAAATTTCACACAAAAACTGAGAAATAGCTTAACCAATCCCTGGTTGAATTTCAGCCCTGAATATAATGTAATATTTTAAGGGATGGTAGAAATAAAGACCATTTGTTTTCCCAACACACAATAAAAATGTTAAAATGATTAAAGCAATGCTAATGAGACTACAGAGAATGCTATAAACAGCAACAGAATATAGAGAAAATTTTAACGTATGAGGTTAAATATGAAAACAAAAATAGAAGTGTGCAGCATTTTGAGAAGGGTCTAACTTTCCATCTGAGAACTATCTCTTGTCAGTATAATTCTAGCTGTCAAACAGAATGCGGACAGGGGGAGAAATTTTTCCTGAATCAAAGGATTAGCTAATAAAAACAGCAAATGATAATTTTCATTGTCCTCTTTGGTTACAACTTTCCGAAAGGTCTGCAGATATTTTTTTCCACGGGAATACATTTACACTGGAAATAAAAATTTATCTTCTGTCATAAATTCATTGTACATTTAGAAGAAAAGTTTTGACATATGGGTGGAGGCTTTTCTTTCCTTAAAAGTCTCAACCTCTGTCTAATGGTTTGTTACCTAAGGAAAGAGAGACATGCATTCAAAAGTTAGAATCGATTTCTAGTATAATTTTATTAATAAAAATAAAATTTTTTAGATCAAATTTCTGCTAAATTTGTTGTTCAGTTACATAAAAGAGTGACGAACTTTCTTATTTAGTGCTTTTGTGCACTCCGGCTAGAATTATGATTTATCCCAAAAACTAAGAACTACCGGAGCGGGGCTCTGGTACTCACTCAGAGCTCAGAGCGCAATTTAAGCTCTGTTATACTGGCATTAAATACAGTTTTATAGCACAGAAAAAAAGCTTTTGTATTCATTTCTCACACTTCCATTAAAGTAAATTTTAATCAAAAAGGCACTTTAAGGATAATTTCTGTCTACTTTTAAACTTTTCAAGCTGCCTACCAATAGATTTGAATTCATCGCTACTATAAATGACTTTTAGTAATCTATGGTTTTTTATTGTAATACTGATTAATTAACTTTTCATCTCAAATCATTTCTGAACATTCATTTAGGAATTGCACTTTCTTTAACCTCAATGCTAAGCTTTTCATCAGCCCATGCAATATCTGCTAATCCTCATTCTGCCTTCAAAATTTTCCACCTGGTACACCTTTCACTAATTGCATCAGCCCCGACTTTCTTCATGCCACTGTCTTTTAATTTCTGTATTTTTTATTATGATCCCAAGAATGCCTGAAGCTATTTCTCTGTTCTTCAGCAGAGGTTTTCATTTAATGTCATAAAAATATCAGATGTTCATTCCTTTGAAACATTTCTTTTAGATTGGTCAGGACGATAAAACACACAACTATAGTATGTAAAAGTTTTCTATTACATTCCTTTATTTGAGACAGTTGATTTCTATGGAGGGAAAAAAAAGAAAAGAAGAGCTAAAAAAGTGTAGCTGTTTCCCGAATAGTCATCACTGTATTGGAAGTTTAGGTCATAGAAAAGTTTGCACAATACAAATACAGAGTTACTCATCATTCTATGCAACATTAAAAAAAAAAAATCATACTAAATAAACTATACAACTGATAACAAATTCTATTGAAAAACAGGTAAATTTCCCGTGGTATATATATTTTACAAATGCTTAATGTGTTCACCTTTGCTGATACAACAGAAATCTATAAGAAGGGACTTTAAAGCTGACCAAAGCCACAGAAAATAATCATGATTACTTTTTTTAGCTTCTGCAGCTCACTGTTACAGAATTTTAATATGTATACATATGGGGCAAAATGGATTATCACACAGATGTCTACCATATCAGTCAAATAAATACTTATTGAGTTCACCTCTATTTTAATGTAATAAAAACTGGTTTTGGTAACAGTCTGTTTATTACAAATTTAAAAATTTCATAGAATTATGAATAACCATGTGATTACACAAAATGTACATTTTTGTAGAAAGCAGCCTTAGCTTAGTTTTCACACAGTGACAGTGGCATTCAATTCAATGTCTAGAGGGAAGGGTAATGCATGCACACACATACATGCATATGGTCCAAGTTTTCGATAAAATTTCAATTTTGTTGATTTTTAGAAAAAAAATCAATGCCATTTGCTTTACGAAAAATACCTTTCAAAAGTTAAACAACAAAAATCAGCGTTATATTTTCAAAATTTTCACAGGACTAGTTTCGATGGTTTTACCGAGCCACCATCCTCAGCTGCAAAAGAACAAAGATAGGAAATAATGATTAGATAAGATAAGAATTTTCTTATTCTATTCCTTTGAAACACATTTCTTTTACATTGGTCAGGACTATAAAACACACAACTATAGTATGTAAAAGTTTTCTATTAGATTCTTTTATTTTATTTTATTTTATTTATTCTTCTTTCTTATTCTTATTTGCGGTTTTGCAGCTGAGGATGGTAAAATCATCAAAACTAGTCCAGTGAAAATTTTGAAAATATAACGCTGATTTTTGTTGTTGTTTGACTTCTGAATTAGTATTTATTCGGCATGTTTTTGTGTCTTGAAAAATACCTTCTTTTCAGAATTTGAGTGACAAAATTGTTCATATTCAAACTTGTGAAGAATACTATATAAACCACGTAGCCAACCCTCTCAATCAGCAAAATAAACTATCTTCAATAAATTTACCTGGTCACTGGTAGACTCAATCCCACTGGACAGAAAAAACTCCATACCTTATCTTAACTATAGGAAATGAATGTCTTAATTTCTTCGTTTGTATTTCTAATTATGAAGTACTTGTCTCAGTAACAAGCATAAAATATTATATATTTGTTGAATGACAATATAAATTAAAATGGTTTCATGTTCATTGAACTTAATTTTCATAATGAAATTATCTTTGAAATATTTTCTTCAAGAATAGGCTAATATCTATTCAAGGTTGAATTTAATCTCTGAATGTATAAAACATTTACGAGTGAAAGGACTCATGAACATAAAATATTCCTATCACCTTTACAGAATACAGCAATAGAGATATGATGGTATGGTGAGGAATAATGAGCAACAGATGCATTTCCATGGACATGCTATAGAAGGATGACTTCAAGATAGGCTGACAATTCTATATAGTAAGTAGAAGTCCCCCCCCCCCAAGTTTCTACAAGTTTTTATTTCATGAAACAGAATGCATGTTCATATATGCAGTAGGCTTGATTGATATATTTCTTAAATGAAAAGCACTAAAAATGAATAAACTGGTCAGACAAATCAGAAATTTTAAGGAATATCTTTGCAAGAGCTGTTGAACACATACATTCAACTTTTACATATCATACTGATGGAAATGGAACTTGCAATACAAAAACACAAATGCATTATCATATGCATAGTAAAGAACATTTTCATCATTAATGTCAAAAGTCTGCATTTGAGGTCATAACCATTCCCTTCCCCCCCTTTTTGTTTTGCATGATACAACTAAATTTTTTTTCTTCCTAAATGCAATAAAAATCTGCTGAATTGCATCACTGGCAGATCTGATTCAATTCCAGAAAAGACTACTTTGAAGTCCCAAGGACAAAATAATTGGTGAGAACAATATCTTTGAAGTTATTTTTTTCAGACTCAAAGTATAATGAAAACTATGAGGGTTAAGCAATTTTGACACTAATAATTTGATGTATCATATTTAAACAATACAGAAGTTAAATGTAAAATTTCTCTGTAAATATATACAAACTTTCATGGACTTTTTCAAATGAGCTATTAAGTGAACATACAAATAAAAAACAAAATTTTATTGCAAAAATATTATATATACAATATAAGGTAAAAAAGTGTATGTATATATATATATATGTATATAATTTTATAGAAAATATATGGCTTTATAATATTTAATTTCTATCAAAAATCTTGGTAAAAATACAATTTCATTAATACATGTGAACAAAACTATGAGAATAATAAATGCTAACTAAATAGCATTAAAAATCAATTGATATATTCAATATGTTTTCTGTAATACTTAATTTAACAGTAACAAGGAATAGAAACTAATACTGAAAATAAAAAATCTTAAGTAGAAACATATTGCACAAATTTATGTTAGCAGACACTCTGATATAATAATAAATGCACCATTACCACAGCCATAAGGCACTAAATAAAATTATAATAACATACATAATTTATGTATAAATAATTATAATTCAAATAGAAATTAATTTTTAAATATATAGATATATGAGTAAAATCTAAAACCTTTAGTGTATATATAAATTTTAAAAAAAGGGGGGAAGGAAAAAACTGTAACAACAGGTAAGTAGAATTTGCCCACAATATTAAATATACAAAATTTCATCAAAGTGTAAAGATAAAATGCATTTTAATTTTATTATAACTTATTATGGATCTTTTTATTATTTCCATCTTCATTGTCAGTCATTCAATCACAGCTTAGATTTCATAACGGGTTGTAGGTACTTATAATAAGCCTCATGAACCTAAGAAGAAAAATAGATTTTTATAAATACTTTCTTAAACTTTTCAAATTTATTAGGACTAATTTAGCTACATAACGACACTCAAAAAGTTTAAAACTTATTTGTTAAAACAATAAAGCTTTCTTTCAGCTGTTAGATGCATAATATGTCACTCTGCTTCTTTTGTCACCTTTATGAGTCCCAAATACAAAATACAAGTACCAAAATACATCAATTACTCATTCATACAGTTTAACTTTTTCCCCACCTTTATTAAAAAACAATTTTCCACTTTCTATTATTCAGTATCAAATTTTGTCCATTTAATTATTATTTCCTCTTTAAAGAAAACCATTATATTTTCCAAAGCTCATCACTAGATAGGTATTTGCAATAAAACTCTTTCCTCCTACTCCTTTCTACACACCATCTAATTAAAAAAAAAAAAAAAAAAAAAAAAAAAGATAATATTACTTCTAAGGTTCCACCCCAACTACACATATAATTTTTTATTCATTACAAAGTCCATAATCCGGAATGATCTATGATCTGGACCTCAAAGCCACAAACTTTACGCATGTGTGTAAAAAATGCACGTAAAGAATGCGCATGCATGAAAGAAATGTTTAATGAAGTAAGCAAATAAATATTAAGCTTCTTTTTTTTTTTTTTTGTGTAAAATTTGATACCCTTTAGATCATAATTGCTCTTTATTTCATAAATTACGGTTTCATATTTTTAATTGCATAATTTCTGCATGCCATCTTACCAGATTTAAATTGATGAAAAATTCCTAATCCAGAATCGCCGAAGTCGCAACGAGTACAGATTACGGACTTTGCACTGTACATTACAAAAACATTTACAAGTATATTTGTATGCTTATTTCTTATACATGCATATTTTTAAAACTTATAATTTTAAACAGGAAGCTACATTACAAATACTCATTACTCAGTATCATGATACTTAGTATCAGTATATGATGTATCCGCAAAAACAATTATACTTACATAAACAAATTGCAAATACTAAATTCTCAAAATTTTTTATTTCATGCCATTTAATATTAATTTTCATCAAAAATCATAAACATTCTTTTTTCTTTTAGCCAAAACTCGCACATATTTTACAGAAATGATGCATTTTATTTCTTTTGCTTATCCATCATTTTGTAATAAGAATAGATAGCATTCTTAAATCCAAATGTATTCCATTATTTAAAATGCATTAATGTTTAAATAAAAGGCCTTTTTCATGTAGTTTAAAAATTTTAATTTGATCTTTACTAACTATGTAATAATAAAGAGACTTAAAAAATTATTATAATAAGACATTTCTTTTTTATGCATGCTGTTCCTATATTTAAACTGCTATGAATTTATAATAAAAGGCGTGATCTTTAACTGGAAGTTCAGAGATAATTCTCACAAAATAATAATTAAAAAATGAATCTTTATGAAATCAAAATACCTGTTTTTGGTTCATAGGAGTTTTTTGAGCCCATTCAAATAGCCTTTCATATACATTTCCATCATAACAACCCAAAGCACTGCTTAGAACCATGTCATGGAAATCAAAAGCATCAACTAAGGCTACTGCATTTGGACGGAGACGTTCCAGCATTTCTAACATGTAGTCATGCATCTTATCAATTTGAGCTTCAGATAATCCAATCTACAATACATATACAATAAACAAATTAAACAATTAAAATACACATTTATAAATAATACACTAAACACTAAAGTTCAGTTTCTTTGAAGGTTTTGAAATATGATGCAATCAAAGCAATTTTTATATTCACTCTGATGCGAAAGCATCAAAGTCCAGTTAGTATATTTAAAATCTCAAAACTCTGAAGTTTCTATATACAAAATAAGCACTACCATGTCACAGCAACATATTATTTTTTTAATGCACAGTTATTGTTTTTACAAAGTATTAAACACAAAAGCATTTGTAAAATTTAGAAATTTAACACAGGAAATAACATTGCTTTGAATTTATTATAAAAATTATCAGGTATATCCCAGCACAAATGTCTACTCCAAGTATAATAACTTGAGTTTTAAAGTTATGCACACTGCACAGGGATATATCTAATGTAAGAATTTTAAACCAAAATGTCTATAACATAGTTATCAGTACAAAAAGGGTAATTTTAAAAATAATGCTGCATGCAGGAACTGAGATTAGAATTCAACTGAATAAAAAAAAAATTCCCCTGCAATAAAGAAATTTATTTTATGAATATAAGTAAAATATTCTGATATATAATGAATAAATAAAAATTAAAGAGAAAAAATAAAAACACTTGAAACAATTTTAATACCACTAATACGAATTAAGAATGTTAAACATAACTATTTATTTTCAAATAAAAGAAAACATTAAAACATTAGAATTTAAAATAAAATAGTCTTAGTTTACGTGCTTAAAACCATGTTAAAATACTGTAACATCAGAGCTTTCTTAGGCAGACTGTTAACTTCTAGCTGATAAATTAAAGCTTACAAAAGCTCTGACCTTAACAAACAATGTTTCATATTGCTTTTGGAGACTACTTTAACTGTGTGTACTTTTTGATTCATCAATGGGAAATATTAGATTCTTTTTAGCCTAAAGGAGCATTAGCCTCAAAACAGCATTTTGCATCGAATCCCTTTTCAGATTGTTCCCACCAAATATCATCGCCCTGTATTACAGTACAAAGTCTTTAATCCGGACTCGTCGGGATTTTGGCAATTCTGGATAAGGGGTTTTTCTGGGTTATAGATTGTCAATTTAAATCTGGCAAGATGGCATGCAGAAATTATAAAATTAAAATATTAAACCGTAATTTATGAAATAAAGAGCAGTTATGATCTAAAGGCTATCAAAATTTACAAAAAAAAAGCTTAATATTTATTTGTTTACTTTATTAAACATTTCTTTCAATTTAAGTTGTTTAAGTTCCTTTGTTTTATGTGCTAAAACTTTCTCTTTAATTCTATAAACAGACATAATTTCTTATTCAGTTACAAAGTTACACTGTTCAAGTCCTGTAATTGCTGTGACGAGAATACCAACTAACTTGTCAATCGAAATTTTTTAATTTTCACTAACCTCTCTGTCACTTTCTTCATGCCTTTATCCATATTTTGCAGCAATTCCACTTTTTGTTTGATGGACATCGAAACACTCTTTCGCTCTGTAGATCCTTTGGCAGCTCCGGAATAGGACACTTTTTTTGGCAAATTCGAAAGTTCAAGCTTAATTTTTATAAAATTGCTCTAACAGTCTTCAAAAAATAATAAACCAGATCCAATTAAAAGATTAAGGAACAACGCAATCTGCAACATTAACTGAAATAGATAATTAGATAGTTTTAGCCTAGCTTATACCTTCCTTTATACATTAAACGCACACGCGTAGACATATTATGTGCATGCGTAAAAGTATTATGCGCATGCGTAAACGCTACACATGCGCAGAAAGTTTGTAGCTTTGAGGTCCGGATTATGGACATCCGGATTAAAGACTTTATACTGTATATTTAATGAAATTAAATAATGAAGAACCTGCATGAACACATGCATGTTTCTTGCATTCTGAAAATACAACGATACCTAGAGCCATTAAATTTTGAATAATACAGTCCTCCACCCAAATATGGGAACCTGGAAGCCCAAATCTTGGATTTTGTATTTATTATCTATTTCATATTTTTTAAACTTTAACGAATTTTTTATTACGAAATTCGATGAATTCACAGTGAGCAGTGGCAACACAATGTGTGGAATAAAGTATTTTTATCTCTAAAACACAAGACCGTCCATCAGAAATTCTAAAGATATGCTGTTTTAAAATACTTTTAGTCCAAACGGGTATCTTAAAAGCTCTCAAAATGTGTATGCATGTGTAAATGAAAAATACGCCTCTTTGAAAGTAATATAAAATCTGAAAGCTTTCAGATTTTTTTTTTATGTGTAATATATTCATCAAACTTTACTTAACACTTGACTGCCATCTACATGGGATTGCATAGAAAAAGCATTAGAAACAATGCCAGCTCTTTACCGTGACGATAAAAGCAAATGCAAGTACACAGGGTGTTTCGAAACTCATGGGCAAAAATTCAAGGGATGATAAAAAGCATCTAAACAAGTAACTTTCCCACACAATGCATGGGTGAAGAGCAAGCGTGAACCGCTAGACAACGCTGTAATGGAAAGCATAAAGTGCGAGTTTTCTTGCACATCGTCATTTCTAGCATGCATTTCAGAAAACATACAGTGGCTCCCAAAAGTGTTCGTACACTTATGATTTTCATTGAAATAGGGCTCTATCCATTAATTAAAAGTAAACTTTCTGAATGAGATTTTAATAATAAGATCTATAATATATTCATAACAAAATTACATGAAATATTTTTAATATATAGCGAAACTTCCTTTTTAAGAAATCAATAATAAAAAAATGAGACAAAAATAATAAAAATTTGAAGAGACAATTTAAAATTATCAGCCCAAAATTTGGGTACTGGAAACAACTTTACTTTTAATTATGATAACGATTCTAAGTTCTCTCAACGTTCGCCTGTAATGTCTCTATAATTGTCCACAGGTTTTGAAAACACCACCTCAGTCGCCAGATTTAAACCTCATAGAACATATCTGAAAAGAGCTGGAGGTTAAAGTACGAAAACACGACATCAAAACGAAAAGCGAACTCAAAACAGTCGATGATAGGCAGTCATGGATGAACATTGACACAGAAATTTAAAAAAAAACTAGTATAAAATCTATTCTCAGACGTTTAAAAGCTGTTGTAGATGGCTAAAGGGATATCCTACTAAATATTAATTTCAATGAAAAATGAAAATATTTACTAATATGTCAAGATTTTTTTGAAGTGTACCAAAGACTTTTGTGAGATAAATATTTTTGCCATTAATTTTTTATTATTAATTTCTTAAAATAAAGTAAAAATAAAGTTTTGCTATTTTCAAAAATATTTCATGTAATTTTGTTACGAATATATTATAGATTCTTATTATTAAAATCTCATTCAGAAAGTTTACTTTTAATTAATGGATAGAGCCCTATTTCAATGAAAATCATAAGTGTATGAACACTTTTGGGAGCCACTGTACATTAATCAGGAATATGCAGACATGCATTTTATGTATGGTCTTCTGAATAGAAATGCTCTAGAAGCCAAATGACTGTACAGACAGTGTTTCTCGAGAAGACATGTGCCACACCGTAAAATGTTTAGGCAACTGTCGGTACCTGTGGGAAACAGGATTCTTTGCCACCGGCATGCATATGGAGCATAACAAGAGTGTCCGAATGCCACAAGTTGTAGAAAAGATTCTGCAAACAGTGCAAGACCATCTGGATATTAGTATGCAAGAGACTTCCATGCCATAAATGTACCCCATTCAGCTGTTTGGCAAGTATTATGGAACTAAGGGTTACACCCCCACCATGTTAAAAAATAGTACAAGCCTTGATAACTGTGCCATATGTCCAGTTTGCACATTGGTTTTTGCATCAGCTAGCAGCACAGCCTGATTCCAATGCACATGTGTCTTTCATGGATAAATGCACCTTTACTCGTGAAGGCACTTCTAATCTTTATCATCCCTTAAATGTTTGCCCGCGAGTTTCAAAATACCCTGCATAAGCAAATAACAAGTTCTTACCATCATAAAAATCCCAGATTGCTCATGAATGTTCTGTAAAAGGAAAACGTAGCACAACTGCACTAAAACTTCCTTCAACCCAGTAGAAACAGTGCTATTTTGAACCCATTCCACATATCTCTGTACTATATAGTACAAGACATGAGCCTGAAAAGATTGAAGCACTATCAATATTTAGTATAGCACAATTTATATTGCAATAAAATTGCAAAACAATGTATAATTACTTTTGCAGCTGCTATCAGATCAACATGACTGAGATTCCATGCAATTTCTTGAACTTTTCCAGCATCCACGAAACTTTGCACTCGAGCAGCAGCTTTGAAGACTGTTCTGAAATTATTTATAGAGAGGTTTAAAATGTAAGTATCATAACATGATGGTACATGGAACATGGTAACTACAACATATTAAACCACAGAAAATTTCAGAAAGTAATTATTTTTATAATAGATTCAGCTTCCATGACCTGCAGATACCAAATTTATTAAAATGAGTTAGAGAAATATAATGTTTCAGAACTCAAAACATATACATTATAAATTTACTTGCTGAACATTTTCATTAATATGCCTTAATTTAAAATGAATAGAAAATTCAAATCCAGCAAAATCCAAATTGTTTATATCAAATCCAGCATAAACTACTATGTTAATGTAATCTTTATCTAAAGCAGATGTAAAATACAATATTTTGTATTAATTGAATACTGAATTGTACCCTGCACTGATTAAGCTGTTATACCAATATTTTGTAAATTCACATATTTTACAGGTTTTTTAACTTTAGTAAACTGATTTTTCATTTACATTAATCATGAATATAAAACAAATCTGAAGCACAATATTTCAGACATAATAGTTTGAAACTCAATTCATTATCTTTTGATGAATACTTATTTTCAGAAGCTTGAAATTACAAAGCATTCAGTACACTAACATAAGAATGAAATAAAAGCCATAAATATGGCAAGAATATAGTCAACTATTCCAATTAAAAGTATTATTTGACTGACTATACAGACATTTTCCATTACATACCACAGCCAAAAAGCACTTGAACATTTGGTATGTCATCAGCAGTAAGAAAAAAATTCTACAAGAAAATTCAACTGCAAAATAAAGATATCAGTGCAGCAGTTCTCCAATAGCTGCAGGTAATTTGTTTAAGAACATACTGCAGTTAACAGCAAAGGCTACCAATAGTAATAAGAACAACAGCACAATATATAATGTACAACTTCACAGTGTATTGTATTGTTAATAAAGCATTGCAAAATTTACTCTATATTATGTTACACTTTTCCTCTTGCTCAGTTATTAAATATCACTGAAAATTATCCATAGAAAAAGAGTCAGAAATTAAGGCATAGATTTCCTGTCACATGAACTATATCAAGGGATGGCAATTTTTCTTTTTCAAACCAAATAAAAAAAAAAAAAAAAAAAAAAAAAAAAGAGGGAAAAAGATTATGGCTCACAAGAAAATTATGTGTCAATGAGAATATTTGACAATATGCATAACAAGAAAATTTCACTCTTGAAAAATATTAACTGTGGTACTGAGCAAAATCTATAGTTGCATAATGACAGCACAATGTGGAAAGGAAGAACCATAATGCAGACATTATGATGAAAGTGTGCTTGAATCAAACTGAGAAGATGGGATATCAGTAATAAGGATACTCAGCATCATTTTCTTTAGAAACTGATGAACTAATGACTACTTTCACTGCATACCAATGCCTTTTTCTACTTTCATTAACACTTTATCCAATGCTATGAAAGTAACTTTTGCAATTTCTTATGCAACAGGAAAACTAGCATAATTTTTTTTTTTTTTTTTTTTTTTATTCATCAACACTTCAAGAAAATAAAGTTTCATTCTTACCATGAAATCTAGCAATTCTTGCATACAACTTCTGCATTTTTATCATATCCAAACTTTTACTTCTTTACTAATGGACACAACATATCACAGTTTTCTCTCTCCCCCCCCCTTTTTTTAAGCTTAGAAGCCTTTGTAGTGTAAATAAGAAATTTCCGACTAGGAAAGCTATAATAAAGTATCAGTTAATCAATCAATAATAATAAGCACCAATATGAGAATAAGAAGATTACAAAAAGCACAGCAGTGGGAAACTGAATGTAAAAATAGTGTTAAGTGAAGAAGGGAAGAAGTAAAATGCTTTGACTACTGATAGCTGTAATTCCTTGTTGAACACTTACAGACATAGAGAAGGGGAGGAGATGAACAAAGAAAAGCAGAATTCTGAGGATAACCTGTCATTTTCATCCCTTTGCTATTTAATTACATCCATCAGGAAAGTCTATGCATGCACGTATTGTTGTGATTATCATGGGAATATACGACTTAGCTTGTTTCAATAGATGTATTTCACATTTGTGTAGGCTGTTGATCATTTAGCACACATTTTTTAAACATAAAAAGGACACTTTTCCTGCCTTTTTAACCATAAATACTGAACCAACAGATATGGAGATATGACTTTATATACAATGCAAACATTATATAAAATTTTCAGAACAATAAGACATACTTTTGTGCTGCAGCACAGTAACATGCAACTAGTTGCTCAAATGTTGGTGGGTAGTCAATATACTGTGGAATGGTTTTATCTCCATCTAAAAGATATCCAAATACAGAATTTCTTGAAACTGGTTGTTGTCCTTTCAAAACTTTTGAAAGATATCTAATAAAAAAAGAGAAATGTATTCATATTTAATAAATTTACTGAAAATATTAGTATGTTGAAAAAGTAGCATTCTTCTTTTATAAGAATCTAAGTAAGTTCAATTTTACTTAAGGTAAATCATGTGGAAACCAAGAAACAGAAGAAAAAAGATTTGTAACTTACTGTCTTCATATCAACAGCATTATTCAAAATCTATGTCCAGCTGAGATTGCTTTTTATCTAATTTTTAAATAATTAACTGAAATCAATGAAGCTGTCTGGCAACTTAATGCCTCACCCGGTGATATTTCTCCATCACTCCGTAATTTTTATAATCTATTTTGACCTTATTTGGCAAATTTACCTTTAAAAAACTTTTTTTATAATAATCTGATTATATTAACTGATACTGAACTTTCACAACATGAATTCACACAATTACTGATTTATTTGGTCTCTCAACAATTTTTTAAATAACTGTTAGGTTAAGCTTGCTTTTCCTGGAAGGGGTTTCTTCCTATGAAGTTTAAATTTTTCTTTGCTGAAAATTGAAAATTCAGTATGATCTGCAGGTGATGAATACAATGGATTTATGAGAAACTGCAAGGGGAAAAAAAAGGTTCATGGAAAATAAAAAAAAATTAATAAGCTGACTAGTTATGCAATAAATTATCCCTAAAATCTTTACCAATAGTTATCAGAAGGTGTGGTGTATTTAATTATGGCAAAGCACACTAGGGCTATCTGCCTAAGAGAAGGGAAGAAGGGATGCCTTCGTGGAGGACTTTCTAAGGGAAACTGGCTCGTATACACGCTACACATGGAGAAAACCATGAAAATGGCCATGCAGCCAGCCCGTTCACGGGATACGAACCTCGGACCGAACTACCAGTGTTCAGCGACTTTACCGCTCGGCTGCTGGTGGGCCTAGTTATCAGAAGGATTTACTGAACCACAAACTTTATTCAGTTTTTTGAAATGAAAATAAATGATATATCACTCTGTGCACCATTTAATTTACCAGTGTTCAAGGATGTTCTTCACTCTGGCATAGTATCACCCATATAATTAGATGAACTTTCAATAATGGTTCCATGTAATAAAGTTAAAAACGATTTCATCAGTTTTATCAATGTTCGGTATTTTTGTTCTCCAGCTTTTTTCAGTATGAATGCTTTAGCCCAAAATTTTGCAACATCAGTTTTGCTTTTTATGTATGACTTGACAGCAAAATAACTCTTAGTATATAAGACAAATTTAGTTTGCTCTAGCAAAAAGTTTCACCTTCCACTGAATTTTATATAGTCTAAATGTTTTTTTAATCTAAATGATATATACGTTTTATAACAAATTTTGAAACATATTTTGATTTTGCACATTTACATTTTCAGAATCTAGAAACTCTGAATTTTAGAAAGAAAAAAGTCCAGAATTCTGGCTATATCCAGACCACAATCAACCTTGTTTTTAATATTTTGTCATTCAGCATACATCCTTCAATTGGTTTCAACACATAAATTTGTAAAAGTTTTCCACAGTGTTAAGTTTGAAAATGAAATTTTGCTCAAAAAAATTTTAAATATGTACCTAGCTGTCTGAAGGTAAAGTACAGTGTTCTCCCCTTCATAGGTACAAGCTGCTACAGTAGTTGCATAAAGTCGAGGAATGCCACTAACCATCAGGTAGCCATGCCCACCACAAGCTTTCCGACATACTTCTATAGCTGCACTTCCAACATCAGTACACAATGCTTTCAGCCCAGATGATGTAGCATGAAGCTGCACAGAAAGAAAAAAAAAAAGTTAACGCATGAAAACTAAAAAAATATTTTACTCTTCTACAAAATACATATTTTCTGATGGCTTGGTAATGATTAAAATCCTGATCACACAAACATTGACACATGTAATATACAGGATGGACATAAAATAACTTCCCCAATGTATGAACCTCTAGCAATCGAAATGAACTTGCTTAACCAATTGAAATGAAATTTCAGACATTTTTATCTGAATGTATGCATTTGAGAATGCAATGATTTAAAACAATAGAGCTCTCTCAGTTACAGTTACAGAGAAAAAAATTTAAAATTTTTTAAAGGTGACAACAACCATACTTTTCCTGTGCAAATTGATCAGTGAACTGAAAAACTATTAAATGGCAATGGAATGATACACATATGACGAAAATTGCTGGCATAAAACATTTGCGATGAAGAGCACTGTAAAAGACCAATGACAATGCAGAAAGAAGGTGCACTGATGCACTTTGCATAATTCACGAGGAAGGACGGTAGATGCATAATCACAAATCACCATGTGTGAAGTATTGCTCATAGAAAACCTTTAATAAGCAGCATGTGAAGACTGTTTCTTCAATCAGGTGTTCGAACCTGCTAACAAGATGACATTTCCAAGGAAACAAAGAGGTGATTTAATAAAACTGCTTTATCACAATGAGGAAAATGCTGTCAAAGCAGAGCAGGTTTATCAGCAAAATCATGAGCTTAGAAAAGTTCCATGTTCTGCAAAAACAGTATGTTATTTGATAAAAAAAATTAAAAAAATCTGAAGAAATTGGATGCACATGTGATAGAATTTGATGTGGATGACATGCATTTCTGCTGAAGTTGTTTTGGAAATGCATTATATAATTACTGTAGGTCCATTGCATACTGCAAGAAGTGTTGCCCTTACTTTGGATGTACTGAAAAGCACAGTTCTCAAGCTTCTGTGCTCTGTTTTGCGGATGTTTTCTTATCAATTCCAGATCTTCTATATATAGGTAGCCTTCCTACAACACGGCATCCTGTAACATGGTTTTGCTATAACATGATTCAAAATTGTGAACACTCTCCTACAACATGGTTTCTCTCTACCATGATAAGAAAATTGCCCAAGCAATCCGAAGAAATTTAATGAACCTCACACAAAGTTTTTCCATATTGTGCAAAGCACCCATATAGTCATTTAACACATAAGAATTCTTGTTTCGTATGTTCTGCCAGTTGTCTTCCTAGATCACAGTAGCCATAAGAACAAATGTCCTCAGATGACTCGTATGAACAAATGTCCCCAGATAACAACGAAGAAACCTCACTAAAACAACGAAGAAACCTCACTATCGCAGAAGGTGAACAGCATGAGGTCGCGAAAAGTGCTCTAAAACACACAACCTGCACGTTCGGCTTCCAAAATTCGAATCCTCCTCTTCATGGCCTGAAAACAAAAGTATCTCACGCTGCTGGTCAGCATTCTACGTCGAGCCACGGTGTGTTAAAGAATAACTTTTCTGTCTTTTAAGACATTAAGTTTCAGCCCCCAAACATGTCTGATAAAGATAAAAAAAGAACGTTTAAGAGGAAATTCATTTCTTTAGAAGAACAGATACAAATCTTGGACCGTCAAAAGGAGAAAAAGCATCTGACATTGGAAAAAATTTTATCTGGAATGAAGAAACAGTACGGACTATTAAGAAAAACAAAAAAGAAATAAGAAGTGCAGAAGGATCTTTGACATCCGCAAAACGTGCAGTTCGTCCCCGAGGGAGCCAATAGTTCAGAAGATGGAAAAGGCATTCAGCATTTGGATTGATGAGAGCTGCCAAAAAAGAATTTCATTGGATGGAATTCATTGAATTTCATTGCACAAAAAGCCCTCAAAATTTTCAGGCACCTCAAAGAACTCTGTCAAACCAGATTTTCAGGTACATAAAGATTGGTTCGAAAATTTCAAAAAGCGTTTTGAAATTCTTAGCAAGAATACTAGGAGAATCTGCACTGGCTGATTATGAAACTGCATGGATGTTTCCTGACAAATTTCAAAATATTATAGAAGAACAAAGTTACACAGAAGTTCAAGTTTTCGATGCCTACAAAACTGGGCTTTGGTGGGAGAAAAAATGTCCAGTAGAGCCTTTATATCAAAAAAAGAAAAAAACTGCATCCTGATTTAAGGTGTCTAAAAATTATCTAATGCTATTTTTGTGCAGTATCGCTTTGGACTTTATGGGAAAACCCCTGTTAGTTTATAGATCTTTACTTAAAGATCTTCACTTAAAGACATAAATAAAAACACCTTACAAGTATCTTGGAAAGCAAATCCATGAGCTTGGGTAGCTGGGAATATATTTAAAGGGTAGTTTTTAAATTGTTTTGTGCCAGATGCTAAACATTATTTAAGGCAGAAACATTCAAGCTTCAAAGTGCTTAATGCTATTAGATAATGCTATCCCCCTCAAGATTTGAATCATCCCAATGTCAAAATACTGTTCCTACCACTTAACACTACTTCGTAACTCCAACCCATTGAATCAAAGTATTATTTATATCTCTAAAACATATTACATAAGAAGAGCATTACAGTAGATTTTTTTAGACGTAACTGATTCAAAATCAATTAATGTAATGGAAGGTTGGAAGACATTTTCAATCAAGAACTGAATCGACGTTGTATTTTTGTTGCTGAAGGAATAGAAAGCATCAACGTTAAATGCATGTTAGAAGAAGATATAGCCCTCTTCAGTTAAAATAGAAAACGTACGTGAATTGTAAGAAAATTAAATTGAGGCATATTAGAGCTTGCTAAATCAATCGGCGGCAAAGGTTTTGTGATCATGGCTATTGAGGATGTTCAAGATTTATTAGCGGAAGAAGGAATTGACGAAGCTTTGACCGATATGGCATCCATGGCTGTAAATCAAATTGCTTCTGTTGACACTACCACTGATGAAGATAATAATTTAACATTAAAAAAATTAAAAGAAGGCCTACGCTTAGCTGAAAATCTCAAGTTATTTTTCTTGAGTGCAGACCATTCCCGCTGAAAGAAGGAAAAAATTCAAAAGGGAGCTGCAAAACTGTCTAGAAAGTTAAAATTACTCGGTAAGAAGTAAAATTACATAAAATAAAAAGTAAAATTACAGATTTTTTTAAAGAGCGGAAAAAAATTCTGCAACTTTAAATGAAGAAAGAAATTCTGAAAATGATCTCATTTCACCAAAGAAATATTCTCTGTTGATTATACTGAGCAATGACAATGAAGAAATTTATTAAACTAAAGTTGCATTAAATTAAAATATGTAATATTTTTTTGTTTTCTGTTGTACATACATATACATATTTTTAATAAAAATTATGTTGTTTACAGGGTTCGTAGCCACATTTTAGTTAAAAAAATAAGCACCTATAAGCACTTTTCAAGCATATTTTAAGGAAAAAATAAGCACCTGTCTAATTAATTACTTTATACACAACTGCATAACCTTAAAAGAAAAATTAGACTTGTAATTTAAAATATGAGCAATGCAATATTTATTAAGAGAATGAGCATTATCTCAACCATGGAAAACAATTAACTTTTTTTTTTTTTTTAATTTTAAATAACAGTTCAATTTACAGAATTAGTTTACAATGAGAGGGAAAAAAAAACAGTGTAGAACTAAACTATATTACAAGATTTAATGATGAGATTTCAGTTCAAAATATAGAAAATAAATAATAATAAGCCATATTAATTGCATTCGTTTGGCACCTAATAATAAATACAATTTATTTTTCCACTCATATTAATATTTAAATAATTTAACTTAAATCAAAATTCTGAACATTTTCTAAATTTTCATTGCATAACAGTTTTCCCTTAACATATATTCCAAGCAAAGTAATTTAAGTAAAAAAAGAGGCACCTTTCTGAAATCAGAAGACGGGAAATTGCTTCATGTAGTCATCCTTTAACAGTAAAAGCTTAACTAACCCGCATACTCGGAAATTGCCGAATATTCCGGATAGTAACTGGAAAAAGAGGAGTGGGAGAGATTGTAGCCATTCTTTAGATTTCTCGGCTAAATAAATGATTTTAATATTTCGATATGTGCATCATATAAAAATAGACCAACGGAAATCAGAAATATTCTGCTTAAAAAGCACGGTAAAACTCTTTTAAGTGTTCATAAACAAATCTCAGACTGAACATCAAAATTAATTATTTCTGCAAAATACCGAAAACGTTATTGCGCAATACATGTGGCGTAATTCTTCCACATGTGATATTACGCAATCGGAATCAACAGCTGCCGGTATTCGGAGAATAAAGAACTAAGAAAGAGACTTACTAATCTGGGGTGTTTCTGATTCTAATTTTTCAACAGACTGCGTTAAATTTCTGGAATATAACCAATCTTCGCTTAGGTTGGGTAGACCGCAAAAACTTTTAGTCCTATTCAATCCAGATTGGATAGTGACAAAAAAAAAAAAAAAAAGTCTGCTGCTTCAATATTACAGATTTTGCGGAAACCTCCATCCTGTATAATGTATTGGCAAAAACAAAAACAAATTTATAAAAATTTATTAAAAATTCCTTTTATTTAAGCCATTCCGAATATTATTCCTTAGAAAGCTAATCTGTGTAAAAACACACCCATTTTTGGAAGTTTATCTATACTTCAGCAGTTACTGCAACTATATTATTATAAATATTCATGCATATGCTCATAATATAAGCATAACGATCATAATAAACACGAATATGAACTGACCACGCAGAACGAGAATGCAAATTATTAAAATCTTGATAGAAATCCAAACATGTGTAGTATTTGAGTGGGAGGAAAAGAATACCAAATGTACCGGAATTTTCTACCGTTTCCGCAATTCTTTGACCAATAGAACGACGTGCACCTGTCTGTACTCTCGCGCTCACCATAGGTTACGTTAATGCAGAGAAAGGGGGGGAAGCAATTTCCGGGAGTATGATTCACCATCTGACATTGCATATAAGGAAGAAAAGTTGCTTATTTAGTTTCGGCTTTGGTACGGGGGAAAAAATGCGCGTTCATTAAAAAAAGCACTAAAAACAAAAAATAAGCGCTTTAAAGAAAAAGTAAGCACCTATAAGGGCCTTTATATTTTATTTTCAAATATAAGGACTTATAAGCACTTGTAAGGACCGCTATGAACCCTGTGTTTATGTATAATTAAAAAAGAAGTCTTTAATAAGTTTTCAAAATGTAACCCCTCCTTTTTATACTGCCTCTGAATATCACACAACATGGTTTCACACAACACGGCATTTTCTAGGAACCTATCTACCATGTTATACGAGGGTTACCTGTATTGCAACCTGAAGACAAGCAACCACACGTCAACTTTGCAAATTTTTTCCTCATCAGATATGATGAAAATAACAAGTGGTCGCTGCATATATTATGAACAGATGAGGCACATTTATCCTTAACCGGGAATGTAAACTCCAAAAGCTGCATTCACTGGGCTGAACAGCACTTTGGAGAGAGTCATTTCTCATAAGTTTGCAGTTTCGTGGCCACCACAAACCCAATCTCATTTTAATGGATTCCTGGTTCCGAGATTATCTGAAATCTAAAGTGTACACATCAAATCCATAACATTTGTCAGAAGTGAAAGATGACATAAAACGTGAAGTTATATAAATTCCTCCTGAGATGTTATACTTGCCATTGTCATTAATAATCTGCATACAATGCGTTATCATGTGCGATGGTGGATACACTGAAAACTTGTAATTACAATAAAAGTTTTTTCCACCTCTGCTCTCTTGTGTTGTCACTGGTCCTTTAGAATGGTGTTTGCAAATGTTTTATGCTGGCAATTTTTTTCCTACATGCGACATTCCAAAGTCATCTACTGTTTTAATGTGCTTATCAATTTGCACAAGAGAAAAAAAAACTGGCTGCTGCCAATGAAAAATTTAAAAAATTTTTTCACTAACTATAACCTGTATTGTTAAAAAACATCACAATCTTGAGCACATACCTTCAAACAATAACATATATAGTATAATTATGTATTGTTTTATAGTACATCTTCTGTTTGGAAGTAATTAGTAAAACATATGAAAATTTGCATAAGTTTGGCAAGCATTCACTGCATAAATCAAAATGATATATCAAAATACATATGAAATCACTACACACACACAGACAAAGGCTACAGCAATGTTTTACGCAGTCATAGATCTTTAATACTATGTAGTCATATTAATGTGATCACCTGTCAAAAGCCAGAATAACCATCTTTTGCAGTGCAGACCATGTGAGACATGCAGAAAGACCGTCAATGAGGTTCTGATAGTTACTCATATAGATGTGCAGCCATGTCGATTTTTAATGCCATAGCCAGCTGCACTAGGTTGCACGGTTGAGGATCCAAGGCATGAACAACACAATCTCCCACAGATTCTTGATTAGCTTTATTTTCGATCAGTTTGGTGGCCAGGGGAGTAAGGTATGCTTGGTGTTCTTCAAACCATGCATGTACACAAGGAGCTGTATGACACATTGCATTATCTTCCTGGTAGATGCCACCAAGCTGAGGAAAAACAATCTGCATGTAATTTTACTTTTTATTTTATGTAATTTTACTTCTTACCAGGTAATTTTAAATTTCTAGACAGTTTTGCAGCTCCCTTTTGAATTTTTTCCTTATTTCAGCGGGAATGGTCTGCACTCAAGAAAAATAACTTGAGATTTTCAGCTAAGCAAAGGCCTTCTTTTAATTTTTTTTAATGTTAAATTATGATCTTCATCAGTGGTGGTGTCCTCAGAAGCGATTTGATTTACAGCTATGGATGCCATTTCTGTCAAATCTTCGTCAATTTCTTCTTCCGCTAACAAATCTTGAACATTCTCAATAGCCATGATCACAAAATCTTTGCCGCCGATTGATTTAGCAAGCTCTAATATGCCCCAATTTAATTTTCTGACAATTCACGCACGTTTTCTATTTTAACTGAAGAGGGCCATATCTTCTCCTAACATGCATTTAACGTTGACGTTTTCTATTCCTTCAGCAACAAAAATACGATGTCGATTCAGTGCCACAATCAGCAAGGACAGATGCATTCTTCTGTTGTTCCATCGTGCCTTTTACAATGATGACCCAGGGAATGCCATGAAAACATTCTCCAAACCATAATGCTGCCTCCTCCAGCCTGGGCCCTTACAGCAATTGTTGCAGGATGTTTATTTTCAGACTTTTTGTGCCATATACACCAACATCCATCTGTCCGATGATGCATAAAATATGATTCATCAGGAAAAGCCACCTGTAGCCACTCAGTGGAAGTCCATTTGTGGTATTAGCATGTAAATTCCAGCCTTTATTGCCGATGAATAGTAGTCAACATAGGTGCATTAACCAGGCATCTGCTACAGAAGCCCACATTCAGCAATGTTCGTTGACTGTTGTTGAGGGCACACTGTTGTTAGCCCCTTGGTTTATTTGTTGTTATACAGTTGCATGTCAATTCACCTGAATGCACCTCCATAACCTTTGTTTGCCTCTGTCACCTATGATGCACATTTGCCAAGTTGCTGCTTTTGGATAGTGCCTTTTTGCCATACACGGTATACTTTTACTACTGCTGCATGTGAAGAGTTCACAAAACTGTCCTTTTGGGAAATGCTTCCACCTTTGGCCTGGAAGTCAATGATTGCCTTTTGATATTGGATCGCTCCGTTTCTGCATTACACCAATGACTGCAATGTTTTTCCCTTCTCTCCAATATTGCCTCCTCCAGCCTGGAGCCTATTTACCCTCAATTGCTAATGCTGTCACTTGCCTTCTGCGATTGATTATTCCAGGCTGATGAAGAAAGTAGACAATAGACACATTAATGTGACTGCACTGCATAGTTAGGAAGCTGATACACATTTACTCTTCCAAAATTTAGGCATAAACATAAAATAAAATATTTACTCACAAAAGAAATATACAAAAACATCCAAATCAAAAAACCTGCTTATTAACACATACTGTGACAATTATCACAACTAAATTCACAATTATTAAAATCAATCAAAGAAAAATCAGTCAATTGGAATGAATTGAAAAAGTTAGAAATATGAAAAGCTCTATTCTTTGAGCTGCAAAAAAGAAAATAAGAAATGTACCTCAGGCAATGTAGCCAAGTCTCCTTTTTCCATATTTTGAGTAGCTACCTTATAAGTATCCATCAAGGCTATAAATGTTGCTTTGCAAGCATGACTGAAAGCTATCATTGGCAACAATTTGTATTTTTGAGCTTGATAGTCTAAAATCTGAACTTCTGGTTCACTACAAAATTACAGTCATTAATTTTTCATAAGCATGAGAAAGAATAAAAAACTAATATATTAATTAATCTAACAAATATAAGAAACACATAACAATTTAAAGTTCTATACTCTAGATGCACAACAAAGAATTTTCTGTTAGCTTGCTCATTAAATCAGAACCATATTTTATTTCTATTTAAAAAAAAAAAAAAGGACAATCTAGACATACCACTTTATATTTGCCAATTTTTATGATTTTATATAACAGTCTAATGATTTTTAAGATCACCAAGCGAATAAATTTTAACACGCAATACTTAGTTTTCAAAGTAATGTGTATACTTTTTACATATGTATACTTCATTTTTCAATAAATTTTAAGGCAGAAATAAAATAAGCAATATCAAAATAGGTTATTAAAATCAAAATATCAGACCAAAACTATTATCCCCATATATAATGCATTTATTTTATAAGAGAATTCATTTTATGAGATGCATTTTATACACACTATAGGATTTACATAAATGTGTCATCTGCAGGTTAAATGACACATGTACTTTTAAATTGAACATTCTATGGCAGTGCTCTCCAACTGGCAAATTGCACGACCAAATATGTGGCCTAATGAAGCATTAATGAATAGAAATCTATTTAAGGCAGCATTAATGAAGAGAAATCTATTTACGGCAGCATTAATGAAGAGAAATCTATTTAGTGGAAGTATGCGTACTCTATTTTGTTTGCTCCATGAGTCATTGCTCAACCACAGCATGTGCACTTTATCTAAACATACAGTAAACAAATGATAGCTAATGTTATATCCAACAGATCAGAAGTCTCCAAATTGTGGGCTGCATGCAGCCCCTAAAGCAGTTTTACGTGGCCTGCAAATACATTTCCTGTAGATTAATTAGCATTATTATAACAGGAAATTTAAGAAAGATTTTAATGATTTTTGAGTCTAGTTTTGCATTACTTTCATTACCATTAAAAATGAATGAGAATAATTCCACAGAAATCTACAAATGAAGCTAATTAATTTACAATATGATAAAAATCTTATCCAAAGATCAAAGATACAGATGTGATTAACCTTTTTGTGTGAAAAGTTACCTCTATGAATTTTTGCAATAAGAATAATCACTTTGTTTGGCAATACATTTATATGCAAATAGTTTTTTTCCACACTTGAAAATTAATAAGAAAAAATCTGATGTGTACACCACATGACTTCCTTGTACGGAATATTAAATTATATGCATTTTTTCTTGCATTTCATTTAAACTTATTAGATTGAATTAAACCTACTTCGCCGACAGCACATAAACCACAAGAGAATAAATGCATTCTTTAAAATTCACTTTGTTTACCATAGCAACACTCTAGCGATAGGTTAACTTAACAGTATTATATTTCGTTCATATTATAACTCAGAATGCACAAAATTTATATCATTTAAAGAATTATCTAATCGTTGCCACATGTTCTATTCAAATACTATAATAAAGCTAGAACTATGTATATTGTATTTCTCATTCAATTAATTCAGTTTTTACTTCGCGACAAGGCAAAAATACATAAAAACTCAAAATATCTGTATTAAAAATTACGAAGTAAATCTTAAATGCTTATTTCCTCAAAAAAAATCCAGAAAGGATTAAGCATGATTTAAATAATAAATGAAGACATTATCTTTGTTGTTGCGAAGCTAAGTTTCTCTAGATTGGCAACAAATCCGCTAGCCTGCTGTTTCAAATGTAAACAAGAGCAATGGCCGCCATCAAAAACATTATTAGGCTTAGCGGCACTTAAACAATTTTAAAATTGTTGATAATTCTAAAAATATTACATACAGATTTACTAAAGGCGTAAAAACCTTAACTATAATATAAGAACTACATAATTCAATCATTTTTAAAGCAAAAAATGTACAATTTACAAACATACGAGGGTTGGAACTTTAATAGTGGCAACTATTTATTTACAAGGAATACAAAAGTGATTCATGTCACCACATTTTACAGTCCTTCAATATAGTCACCAGCATTGTGTACAACCAGTTTCCAATGATGTGGAAGTCGCAGAATACCTGTAGCAGCGCCTGTTTTGTTGATAGTTTGAATGGACTGGTCTACTGCCACAAGAATCTCAGGAACAGTTTGGAAGAGAGTGCCACGAAGTGGTTCCTTCATCTTAGGAATTAAGTCATAGTCACAAGGGCTTAGATCTGGGGAGTATGGTGGATGGTAAAGCACTTCCCAGCCCCATCACTTGAACAAATCAGTCACAGCTTGCGCTGCATGCGGCCGAGCATTGTCATGCAAAATGAGAGGAGCGCTCTGCAGGAAGTGTCGCCGTTTTTTTTCTCAAAGCTGGTCGGAGATTGTGCTTCAAAAATTAGCAGTAATACTGCGCAGTGACGGTCTGCTGTGGGGGAACGGTATGCGTTAGGATGATACCATCACATTCGTACACGAGAATCATCATAACTTTCACATTGCTGGGGTTCTGACGAAATTTCGAACATCGTGGTGACCCGTGATGATGCCATTCGTTTGATTGGCGTTTCAGTTCTGGCTGGTACGATCAGGCCCAAGTCTCATCCAGCATAATGATACGGCATAAAAAAGCATCTCCTTTGCGCTCATAGCGCTCCAGGTGGGTTCGGGCAGCATCATATCGTAGCCATTTCTGCATTTCCGTCAATTGATATGGAACCCATCGTGAAGCAATTTTTCTCATGGACAGGCGTTCCTTCAGAATCTGCAGCACAGTCGTATGCGCTAATCCTGTTTGTCCAGCCAGGTGACGAATCGTTTGGCGGCGATCACTGTCTATTAGAGCGGCAACAGCTTGCACGTCTGCATCGCTGACACTCGGACGACCTGACCGCAGCATGTCTGCCACGTTTTGGCGTCCTTCATTGAATGCTTTCACCCATCTTGCTATGGTTCTGTAAGGCAGTGCAGATTCCCAGCAAGCCTCTTGAAGCCCTTGATGACACTGTCGTACTGTACGACCTCTGGCACATTCAGTTTTTATCCAACATCGTTGTTCTTGTTTTGAAAACATCCCGACAACACTTGCTTTAGACTGCGAGCTAATACAAGGATCCGTTCTTCGCGTCACTCCACATGCGCGTGACGTAGGCAGGACAAGTCTTTTTGCTGAGAGGTAAGGTAGGTATGTAGTTGACGTGTGGTTTATGCGATATTCTTTGGTTTTGTTGCGTAGCGTTTTTTCAGCTGTGTTGCCACTATTAAAGTCCCAACCCTCGTATAAGAGTAAAGAAACTGAGATCACTGAGCCGGGTAACAGAGTGGATGTATATATAAATATACTTTTATACGTTTGGTGTGGGCGATTGCAACCAAAATGTGCACTTCTACATGTTATAGCAGTCCTATATACAAAATTTCAACAATCTGAGGCTACTCATTTTTGAGTTATGCGAGATACGTACGTACGTATGTTCCTACAGACGCCACGAAAAATTCTCTTCAGAATTCATTTTAAAGCAGTTTTATAATTTTTTGGGAGAAAAAGAGTGTTTTATTCTGTCCTTACATACAGATATCACAGAAATACATCGTTAAATTGCATTTGAAAGAGGTCAAAATGGGATATTTTCGTTGAAATATGCTGCCTGAAACTTTTCATGATTATAATACTTCCTTTTTTACTTCGTACAAGGAAATAAAAAGAACATGACTGATTGATGAGCATCTACCCATTAGTGATGAAGACAGTTTTCAGCAATTTTTGTTCCAAGATTAAAAATTTTATCAAAATCAAAATGCCATGAAGTATTGTAGCTGAAATTTGTAGTAAAAAATAAAGAAGTGTATAATCATTTCCATAAAAATATATGAAATTTTTACTGTATGTATCCAAGAAAAATTTAAGAAAATAATGAATTGTCATAATTTGTTATCACGTTTTTCTCACTTGGAAAGCTTTCGCAATTTATTTTTTAAATTAAGTTATTATTGGTTAATTCAATATATTATAATTATTTGAAATAAATGCCAATTTGAAAATTTAACATTTAGCTATGAATGCATTTGAACTGCAAAGTGCAAATGACAGAAATATCTTTCAGATTTAGATTTCAGACAGAAAACAAATATCAACTGGATTTTTTTTTTTTTTTTTTTTTTTCTTTGTAACATTATTATTACCTTTTATGTAGGTTTTGATAAATATTTAGTAAATAAAAATTTAAGTTATAAAAAATTTTCACTTTGTTAAAAAATAAAATTGGCCCTCCAGCTGTTTTCAAATTGTGGATTTAGCTCAATTGCAGCTTGACTTTGAGATGACTGCACTAAGTAATCTAACAGCAAAGGGGGTGGGAAAGTTACTAAAAGTTATAGGTGTATATTTTGAGGAAATTTATCCACTTTCAGTTAAGCATGGCTTATTTAGCAAAAGGAAAGAAACAAGATTTAGTTAAATTAGCAGAGACATGAAGTGTAGTGATAGAGGAAAATTTTAGAATTCCTGAAATAATTAAGGCTATGATCACTAGTCCCACATATGATGCAGAATTTACAAAAGAATGTTTGAACCACATCATAAATAATAGGAAAGAAATAGAACAGCTTACTGAGAGAGAGAAAGAACATTTGTTTGAATTGGAGAAATTAAGATTACAATCTAGTATTACTGCTAGTAGATTGGAGTCTGAAAAAGTATCTTCTTCTGCAGACTGATCCCCCTCACAAAAAATACCTAAGTTAGACTGAACAAGTTAATTCCTAATTTTAATCCTAAAAGAGCCAATATGAAATTATTTCGGGATTTGTTTGAAAGGCAATTAACCCTTCTAAAGGTATCAGTTGCAAAATGGGCAGTCTATCTTGCTGGTCTTCTGCCAACCGATGCTTCAAAACTAAATGCAAAGAATTTCTGATGATGCTCAGGACTATCAGAAAATTAAAGAAATTCTCTTAACACTTAGAAGACGGGAGACCTAAAAATCGTCCATAGCTGCAGTGTCTCAAACAGACGGCTGTGGCCTAAATTTCGGCCAGAGAAATTCTCCCCCCTCCCCTACTTCAGGGTGCAGAGATGTCATAGTTCGAATAACTCCCTTGCCACTTATGCGATGACCTTTGCGCCTCCCATCTGCAGGGCTTCGTATATTCCCTTTCGTTTCCCTCAGCAGTGAAATCTTATCTCGGGGCAAAATCTTTCAGTTGTGTCAAAGGATATCTGTTCTTCCTATATGTTCATTGGTTGCGTTTCACGTGATTCACTTGCTTTCTCACTTTGCTTTTTCATGATTCACTTTCATTCGTGATTCACCTGGGACTTGTCATATCAAATATATAAATTTGAAAATAACAAAAAAAAAGGGGGGGAAGGAAATGAATAAAAAAAAAATCTGAAAGGTTTCAGATTTTAAATTATGACTAAGGGGGCTTTTTTTAACATTGTGTATGTTACATTTATTTATTAAACATCACGTTTTTCGCACTTAAACCATAAAAATTCAGTTCAACAGCAATATAGCAAAATAGTTTTAAAATAAGCATATCTTTAGAATTTCCAATACAGAGACTCACGTGCTGAAGATAAAAATGTTTTTTCTGTACAATGTTGCCATTGCTCGCTTTGACATCCTTGAGTTTGTTAATCAAAAATTCGTTAAAGTTTTACAAAATATGAAATCAATAACAAAACAAATTTCAAATTTGGTCTTCCACATGCCCATATTCGTAGGACGATTACGTCATTAAAATTTGATGGCTGTTGTTTTATCACAATGCGAGAAATATACATAATAAATAATACAGATTTTTCATTATTTAATTTCTTCAAATGTAATGCAGGACTCTAACATTTGGTGGCAACAGCTTGAAAGAAGATTCGCTGTTTATAGTGACGCAAAATTGCAAAACGAAAACAATAGTCCTACAGGAACAACCATACTAATATGCCTATGGGATATACATATGTAAATGAGATTATGCGAACATATACTTGAAAATCAGATTTAAATTGAAATATTATATTAATTTAGATTTTTTTTTTCGCATTTGGCATAGAAGTTTTATTAAAAAATACGAAAGTGACGGAACGGTTCCAACTACTGGATATTTTATGGAAAGAGATTAATTCCCCTTATAAAATCAAGACTTTCTGTGAGGGGGATCAGTAGTAATTACTCTTATATATTTGCTTTCTATATTTCTTTTATTATAAATTTTGCAAATCCGAAATGTGGCAAGAAAGCAAAATGTGAGAAAATGTATTAAATTACAGTTTTGGAGCATTTACTAAGATTTAACATGTAAAAAATCTCTCATTAAATTAGCATTTACTCTTCATATGAATCAAAATGAATATTAATTAAAATATAGATACATATGTAGCCTTTTGTTTCAACTTCTTTCATATTAGATCAGCAGTACCTGCATTCCTGTACTGATAACAGTCAGATCATACCTTCGGTCAATTGAATATCATGTAATGGTATATCAGTGAAGTCGATGTACGCTGGTGGTTCTCGAAGGCTCTATTCTCTGTTTCAGCTAAATAAAGGTTCTGTTATTTCCTTCACGTACACATGTACAAGGAATACCGTATTTGACGGCATATAAGACGCACTTTTTTTCCTAAATGTGGTCTCAAAAAAGTTACCTGCATCTTATACGTGAAGGAGATAGGTTAACTTTCAATACTGAATGCTATACTTAGCCCGGATAAAGGTCTAGACACACATAACGTTTTCTACATCTACCATAATTATTTTGCGCATACGTGAAATATCTGTCGCCAAAAAGCGCCAAAGCTTGAAGCTGATGTCGAAGTTCGAACAGGTCCGACGGTCACATTATGTCTATGGAGCCTTTCCTTCTTTACATAGACTTTCTTTGACTCAGCCGACACACATGTCGGTGTCGGTGCTACTCTGTATAAACGTGTCGGTATCGGTGCTTAAAACTATTTGTTTAAAAAAAATACGGAAATTAAAAAAAATGGAAAATATGACTACAGTTTAAAAAAAAATGGAAAATATGACTACAGGAAACAAGAGATTAAGCTATACAATTCAATTTTAAACTAGGAGTGTTAAACTACGCCAAAGTGCATGGAAACAGAGCAAGACTTTTCAGTCCACCACCTATCGAAAAAATGATACGTACTTGGGACTGCAGGAAGATTAACTGAAGACTGCTAAAATACAAAAATATAATCTTCGATGCCAAGCTCCATCTTGGCCTGAACTTGAAAATGCCGTAAAAATATGGGTGATAGATAAGAGGAAATCTGGAATAAGTGTTTCAACCAAATTGATAATCAATGAGGCCAAAGGATTTGCAGAAAAACATGGGAATCAGAACTTTTCAGGGTCTGAGGGCTGGTGCTATAGGTTCATGAAAAGGCTTATCAATGCAGAATCAGCAATGCTCTTGATGGAACAGAAGACGACGCATTATTCGAAGAAGGCGATACTAGTGATGACGGAAATAGTAGTGATGACGATATTCTCGTTTTCGCTGATGATGATAGTGAAAAGGATTTTTATGGTTTTGAAAGTGATTAAAGTCTAATTTCATGATAGGCAATGTTTTCCTTGAATCTGTGTTTTTTGTTGTTTCTGCTTTATTTTGTATTATGTTCGATTGCTTGCCGTTCATTCATTTATTAATTATTGAAATTTACATGTCATGTTCAAAATAGCTTGTCGTTTGTTCTTAATAATAATTTCTTAATTTTTCTTAATAAAAATATGTTTGGTACTTGCATTTAATGATTGTTTATTTGGCTTTTACGAAACGTGAGAACTAAAAGAAACCACATTTTAAGTTATTGTGGTATAGCGCTATCGCGTGGACTATTGAAACTTTTTTTTCTTGCATGTGGCCTTCTAAATAAGGGTGTGTCTTATATGCTGTCTCAAATACGGTATATGGGCCAGTTTCACGCAAAAAGTCCTTAACACTAGGACAGCCGAATTTCAGACTAATTGAAAACTGCCATTGAGGGTCAATTTGACCCTCATAAGAAATGTAAGTAGAAACACAGTAAATGATTGAAATGATGCTGAAATGAACACATAAAAGAGTTTTTAGAGGTTTTTATTTTTTATACGTTAGAATTTTTTTTTTTTTTTTTTTTTTTTTTTTTTTTTTTGTGCAATTAGTGCAAATTAGCACACAATATCTTTCAATGTAAGATTACAAAAACAAAAACAAAATCTATAAAAAACAAAAGATACAAATGCAAAAAGTGGAAAATAGAACATATGCAAAAAATTACAAAAAAACATAAATTGGGAATAAACGCACAATGTTTTCCAAAGTTTCTTATACATTACCGCAGGTGATACAATATGAACGCTTGACAGTGACAGCAACACATTTACCACAAACCGGTTTCTGGCATCCCTCACAGCTGACAACAGTCTTGTTTTGTCCCTTGCAACTTTGAAATGCACTTTTCTTTCATTTAAGTGTCTGTATTTGAGCAATCGGGGGTAATCTGTTGTGTAGTGCACCAACTCGTAGTTCTTCCACAAGTGCAAGAATAAATTCTCGACGGGAAATAGAGCTACCCAAGGATTCCTTGAATATAATCCAAGCATTGAGTTCAGTAATGTCAAGGACGTTGTAAAAAACATGTACAAGCCACCTGCGACTTCCACTACTTGTACTATATTTCCCCAGCATCTGATCTGCGGCATCAACGCCACATTTTGTACTGTTGTAGTAAGTGACAGTGTTTGGTTTTTTCTTTATGCTGTCGTCAACAAACACATTACTGTGCATCGTGCTCAGAATCACGACATTCTTTTTGCTCTTGCACCTATATATTGTGAGTGTTTTGTCTTCCATTTTTTCAGTGCAAAAGATTTATATCGTGCCGAAAAAGTGTCACTAGCAATAGGGGGTAATTCTCGTTTATTCAGACGCATCGTCCCGACAATTGTGGTTTTTTCGCAGAAAGTTCATCTGCAAGTTTCACAGAAGTAAAAAAAATATCAGTTGTGACATTGAGTCCGGAGTTAGATGTGGTTACAGTAATTTGAGAACTACACTTTCCCCAAGTTGTAAATTAATTTGTCGTTCTTCATCCTTGCCCAGATAAGGATAATCATTCAAAACATATTTCGATTTTACATCAGTTGCTAGCCAGGATTTGATGCCAAACGCCAAACTTGTCCAGTTTATTCGCCATGTACTGGATAAATCTACATCTTGATTTACAAGGCAACACTGTTCATCAACGGTTATTTCTAGTCCAGGATTATAGCATAATAACGTTTCCATTAGCTTGTACCAGGTTTCAGAAGCGAGAGCAAATTTGTTAGTGGCGAGACGATCAGCCCTGGTGCTTCGGACATCGAATCTGAGATACCGCATTATGTCACGGAACCGATTACGTGGCATTGTTTCTTTGAACACAGGTGATCCCCAATTCTTGTTCCACAAATCATATGCACAAAGTTTTGAATGGCCTAGTGCTCCACGGGCATACAGGAGGGCAAAAAATACGTCAAGGTCTTCCAGAGTAACATGCCAGTTACTATCATTTCTAAGTTGGCATTGTGCCTCAGCAATTGTACATGATTGAATGTGTTTCACCATTGATTCACTCACCATCAAACGCCACGCTGAAGCAGGATTTGTTCCTATATTACGACGAGCAAACGACATTGGTTTACTTACAGTGGTTACAATATTTCAAGCTGGCATGCGACCTGAAGTGGAAGCGGTGCTGCTAAGGTTCATAGGGGTCCAAAGAATACCACTGGATGAGGTATACTTCTCATTACTGCTGCCAGCAACGTTGTTGCCTCGTCCTTGACCACGACCATGTCCGCGTCCACGTGAGCTTCCGGCTTCCCGCATAGGGATCACATTTCCAGAATTGTCCTCGACATCACTATCTCTGCTTTCAAAGAGCAACGCATTCTGTAAGTTCACATCAACGTTAAAATCTTCATCACTTCTATCATCACCACTTATATCTGATTCCAACTGTTCAAGGAGGTAAGGCACTCTTGTGTACTCAATCCTCTTCCAATCGGCATTGCAATGGAGAGAGAATATGCACCGTTCTGGATTTTATTTTTCTCTCCTGAGTCATCGCTATAAGAGATGCGTATTTCCCAATGCGCAGAAAACGAAAACGTGACATTGGGAATTCGAAAACAGACATTCGCTTAAAAATATGTCGTTTTTCTTATAAGGGTCAAAATGACCCCAGTTGGATGTTTTAGGTATATCTGCAATTATTTATTTAAATAATTAACGTAGAAACATGAAAAATTGGCATAGTATACTTGGAAAGATTTTAGAAAAAGTAAAAAAATATCAGCTTCGAAGCTCAGCTCTATGTTTAAAAAAAAGCGGAAAATTGGAAAAAAAGGTCAAAATGACCCCAACAGCGCTTCTAGTGTTAACAAAGGCCTATCAACGGCCGAGCAATAAAAGTCGCTGAACACTGGTAGTTTATTCCAGGATTCGATCCCGGCGAAAGGGCTCTCTGCCTAGGTGTTTTATGTAACGTGCATACCAGCCAGTTCCCTTTAAAACTTCTTCCATGAAGCATCCCTCCCTTTCGGTGTAGTGCCTAATATTTTACTGAGAGACTGAATTAATTTTTGACATAAGCTTTTTTTTTTTTTTTTTTTTTTTTTTATTAAAAATGAAATTGTCATCAGAAAATTGTAAAGTAATAGCGAGAAATGCTATTTTAATAATGCTTGTAATTTCAGTATTCCTCACCTCCTTTTTCATAATGAAAATAAGAGCTAATTTTTGCAAAAGTGACCTGCATAACAACATCAATATTTTGGCAAGATTATTTTCCGTTTATAACACTTCCAGTCTTTATTTGCGTATATCAAAAGTGGGAATATTTAGATTACGACCAAGGCAAAAAGGCTATTTGTCCAAGGGAGAAGGGGGTTCATGAAAGACTTTTTAAGGGAAATTGGTGGGTCCTCATGTTACACATGACACCACATGCATCAGCTAGCTCACCGAAATGTGAACCAAACCTAATTATTAGTGTTCGTCAAGTTTACCGCTTGACATCTGGTAGGTCTGTATAAATAAATAAAGTTTATAAATCCACTTGAAATTTTACATTAGTATTAATTTTACCAATTTTTATGCCATTAAAAATGTCTTTTTCCTTTATATTTCCCCTTTTTATAGTAATTTTTGTATTTAATAGTGCTGTTTGAAACATGCAAAATGCAATGCAATGAAAATATAATCAATAAAACTTGTTTTTATAGTAAAAGAGAATATTTTTAAAAACACGCTAAAGGGGGAAAAAGCTTTTATCAGAAAACTGCAAGAAAGAACAATGAACAATATTATAGTTGAAAGATGAAATACTTATGATACAATGGGGGTGAAAATCAATAAATTATAAAAAGAAACTGAATAAGAATACTAATGAAAAAGGTAAATGAAACTAATATAACAAATATACAACGGGATTTGTTTAATATATAAATATAAGCTGTTACACAATGATTAGAAACAAATGAAAGAAAACTGCCGATTTATACGAGAAACAAATAGTTAAACATCATTTTCGAGTATAAATTAAAAATGTTAATTAGTACATGTAATTCTAAACTAAATTCAGTTTGAAAACAAATAAAAACTGATTAGACTATGTACTGATTTTAGGCATGCATAGGTGGTATTTGCTGTTCATATTTTTATTATGACGTAACGTCAAACATTAATATTCCAACATATAAAAATTATATAACGACGAAATCTCACCATCATATGTTTCCCTAGTTTAGAGAAAAAACAGCAGAAAAGAGAACAAATTCCTTTATATTATTCACTAGTCTCTTATCTCAAAAGTAACAAAAGAGACCCCCAAAGGTGATCTAAAGGAAATATTTCAAAAGAGTATTAGTTTCCCTTTACAATTGCAGCTAAAGGGGGGTGGAAATGCATCTGGATTTCTTTTTAAATGAAACCTTTCCAAACTGATCAGTCTCTTAAAGGTTAAAGCATTTCAAATTGAGTGCTGAGAAATTTCGACAACTGTTTACACAACATAAGAAAAATCCTGCAAACACCTGGAGAGACTTTCATTTTGATTTACAAAACCATTTTGATGGGTAGCTTAAGAATCAAAAGTCACGACGTTTGAGCAGTTAAAGAACTTGATACTGGCAGATCAGATTAAGAAGAAAGTCCCTCCAGATTATAAAGAACATTTTTTGGATAACTAGAGCGAGTGGAACAACCCACCTCAGATTGCTGACAAATTAGATATGTATGAAGAAGTTAGACATTTACGAAATAAAAACATAAGTATGGAAACCACTAAGTTTCAACAACAATGGTGGTCTGGTCCCAAAAATTATAAAGGCAACCCTCAGCCTACTAAAAATGCCTCATCAAGAAGTAATGCAAATGTTGTTGAATTTCACTCTGACAGTTAAAGATCTGCACACCCTGAACTGAGCACATGCCATTCATCGGATTAGTGGCAAAGTGACATTGAAACAGTATGAACAACGTCTGCATGTGAAATTTTGCCATAAACAAGCGACGAGCCTTGGGTTTATGGATATGATATTGAAACAGAGGAAGGGGGGAAAGGTCTCCTTGTGCAAAAAAAAAAAAAAAAAAAAAAAAAAAAAACATTCATGAGTGGTTCAGAGATCAAGGCGATGTTTGTTGTACTTTCTGACTGCAAAGACACTGTCCATCAGGAATTTGTATAGTGTGGCCAGATGGTAAACAAGGAAGTGTATCAGAAAATTTTAGCACGTTTAAGGGATGCTGTGGGCAGGAAGAGACCTGAATTGTGAAAAAACTTTGATTATTGGATATTGCATTATAACAATGCTTTGGGCTCGTGTGTCACTCCTTTGTCCTGTCAGGTAAAACATCACACTCTAGTTGTGCCACATGCACCATATCCTCCGGGCATAGCCCCAGCAGACTTCTTCCTGTTTTGCAAACTGAAAATCACGTTGAAAGGACATTGTTTTCAAACCATAGAGGATTCAAGACAATGTGGCAAGAGATCTGCATGCTATTACAGAAAGTTCATTCCAGAAGGCTTTGAAAAAAATGGAAGAAATGATGAAAACAATGTATTGCCAGTGAAAGGGACTATATTTTGAGAGGGGCAGTGCTTTAAGTGTTGTACAGTAAGCAATAAAGATATTATAGCAGAAGTTCGGTTTCTTTTTGAACACACCTCATACATTACCTTTAATGTGTGTTTTCAAGTGTTTTTGCCATAAAAGCTCATGATCTACAATTAAAATATAAAATTTATAATGATTTATGAAGCATTTTCTGCATATATTCGCAGTGGAATTGGAATTATTTCCAAATTTCGATAAAGGTCAAATTCCTTCTCCTTCCTTATTTATTAAATTAGCCACTGGGCAGATCAAATTAAACTGTGCAAGACTGAAACTAGAATATAGATTATATTTTAAGGTTATTGTTTAATGCAACTGTATTAGGAAACTCTAAAACTGATACAAAATTTTACATTTATACATAATAATTATAAACAAAAATAAAATGCAAAGTAAACTATTAGCTCACAAGATACGTTTTTTAATTATGTATCATGAAATCCGACGTTACTACAATGCAATAATCTTATAATGGAAACTGAAAAATGCCGAGAATTTTATTGTTACCAAATCTCAAATATCCAATATTTTGTCCAAATCATAAACAATCAATATTGAAAAGGTAATTCTTATACGTAAGTTTTTCCATTTGAAAATGAGAAAAAACCATAGTAAATCTGTGCTTTCTTCGATGCAGCTTTTACGTAAGCAATATGCTGCTTGGTTTATACCAAGAATCATAAATAACACGACCAAAAAATAGACCATTGTCAATTTATCACATTTTGGTTAACTATTCAGTCAGGTGTTTTACCTCAATGAATTAAGTATATAAATCAAGAGATTTTAATAAAATATAGAAAAAAGAAAGAAATAAGCACTTTGTTTAAATTTCACTCTTATATATTTTAATGAATTCGGTTCTTGCTTTACTTTATTTCAAACAACCATGACAACCAACAAATATTTACTTTGGTACCTCACAAATTCTAATGCAATTTAACATAAAAACAACTAATGATTAACCTACTAGCATATAAAATTAAAAGATGGCCAACAAAGTAGGATTAATATTACTTACTTTTATAACTACATGTGCATAATTTTTGGCAACGTTGCAATCCGATGAAAGGGATACCCAACAACAACCCACACAATTCAAATGCTTCAAAAATTTGTAATATATAACAAAAAAACAAAAAGTGACATAAATTTAAAATTTTAAAAGGTATTCTTTAAATTTAAAATATACCTACTTCTTGGCAGACAACCCACCAAAATCTATGCATCATTTCCAAAGAAACTGTTACACAATACATTCCCATCAGATCCAGCGGAAAGTTGTAAGACTGGCCTATCAGTACAACCATCCTTGCTGGTTTTCAGGATATAAGACTATGTTTCCTACAATATTATGCTAAAAAGTCTGAGGCATTGTATGCTCACAAGTTAGAGGACACGTGCTGGCACATTCCAAAAAAAGCTGAGCAACTGATGCTAAAAAGGTACTAAGACTGGGTACTTTCTGACTGGCACAGTCACTCAACCCCAAAATGTTCTGTAATATCCTACAATCAAAGTTGCCCATGAGGAACCCAGCCAACCTAACCACATATTATCTGAAATGTTCTGTATTGAGAATATACTGATGTTATTTGGATTTCACAAATGAAGCACTCCTTTAATTTCACACACAATTTCACACAATGGCAAGCCAAAACAAGTTGCAAAATTGTTTCAAGGGAACTCAATACAGCAACTACGAACTTCAATATTTAGACTCGGTGAATAAGCAGCACATGCGTATAAACCGGCGAATGCCCATTGTAATTTTTTAGAAAACGGTTCAGGGCACAATCAGGAACCCAAGATCCCAACTACAGAGCTAACATCAAATGTCCAGGAGTCAGAGTGAAAGATTATTAACAAAAGACAATACCTGAATATTGCCCTTCAACTGGCACAAACCCCCCACTTATTCTACAGTGTGAATAATGAAGTTAAGAGAATTTGCTATTGAGAAAGTGGGTGTGAGCCGGATTGTGGCATCACGCTCACCTCACGGACATAGACCGAAGATTTCTTAACACTCATGGGTGGGGAGCAAAGGAGGGTTCTGTTCACCGACGAGTCCCGTTTTAGAATATATGCTGATTCTCGCCGTACTTTCATATGGAAAGAACAAGGGACCCGCTACCTATCCCCTATCCTCCAATGTCCGCGAAATCAGCAATTATGGCGGTGGCGGTGTAATAGTCTGGGAAGGCATCATGTTGGATGGCCGCTCACCTCTCCACATCTTTTACAGACGCTCTGTGACTGATGTGAGGTATAGGGATGAAGTCTTGGAGCCCTGTGTTCGCCTTTTCCGGGGTGCAGTGGGCCCCGAGTTCATCTGGCAGTAGCGTGAAAAATTTGTCATAAAACAAAACCTGGAAATATGGCAGTTGATCAGTGCCTGTGGCAACTGGTCCCACTCCATTCACAAACACTGTTTTCAGGTTTCCGGATGGGTGTTTGAAAGGTTGAAATTGCAGTCCCGAACGTCCGACATGCCTAGAGAATAGGTCTGGAGACCGCCTGGCCATCTGCCAGTGAGTCCTCACTCTCCAGAATTCATTGAACCAGAAGAGCTCTGCGGGACTCTCTCAGCGTTTCGTCGGTAGATGAACTCGAGCCCACTGGCACGAAAAGGAACGGCGAAACACAGGGCTCCAAGACTTCATCCCTATACCTCACACCAGCCACAGAGCCTCTGTCAAAGATGTGGATGGGTGAGCAGCCATCCAACATGATGTCTGCCCAGACCATTACACCGCCATCCCCATAATTGTTGATTTCGTGGACATTGGAGGGTAGGTAGCGGGTCCCTGGCTTTCTCCATATGAAAGTACAGTGAAAATCAGTGTTTAGGCTAAAATGGGAATTGTCGGTGAACAGAACGGTCACCTATTGCTCCGTACTCCAATCACTATGCTGCAAGCACCATGCTAATCAGACTCTGCTGTCCGTAGACGTGAGCGGAACGCAAACAGCCGGTCTTCTGACAAACAACCCTCTCTCATTCAGTCTTTTGGAAACAGTCACCCTTGTTACACGGGTTCATGTGGTTGCATACAGATCTCGAGAGAGCTGAGAAGCTGTAGCCCCTCTGTTACTCCTCGCTAAAATGGATAAATAGCGACCTTCTCTGGCCGTCGTGGCTCTTGGACGACCTTGCCCAGGCTTTCTCTCGATGGATCCAGTATCCTGGAACTAAGGTTACACATGATGCTGGGTGTTAAATTAAACTCTTTGCATATCTGGACGTGCAACTGACCTGCTTCTAGCCTCCCCACAATTTGCCACCTCATTCCATCATCTAAACATTGGTGGTTACTCATTTTTGCTGTTCCGATGAGAAGTTAACCGATTGCTGTAAGATAACACCAAGAAATTTGTCGAGGTGTGCTAACGAACACATTTCATCTTACTCTCCACGCGCTTATAAAACCTGTTTTTCTGCTGGCTCCACATACACACACATGTAGGCTTTACATATTTGCTGTATAAGATTTGCATTTTTATCTAAAAGTGGTTTTTCCTTCAGTTCAGTTCTTTTCATGCAATTTGATAAAATATACAAATTCTCTTAATTTATTTCACCAACGTAATACTAACTTCTCTATAATATTTTCTTTATTAAAAATAATTTTAAGCTATTTATGGTACATAGTATTTTGTGTACAGCCTTACATTTTTAGCAATGCACAGATGTTATATTATACATAAATTATGAAGGAAATGTTTAGATATTCAACTTATTCATTCAACTATTCAGCTGCTGTGACATACCTGAGAATTTTTCATTAGCATGTTTTCCCTCGGAATTCTCACATGATCTAATTTCAAAAATCCATTGTCAGAAGAACGAAAACCAACCTTAGGTCCTATCTCTCCAACCGTAATACCTGTAGAATTTTAATCAAAAGCAATATGAGTTAAGCCTTGTAAAAATATCATGCTAAAAGTATTTACTGTATATTTTGGCATAAAAGTGCACTACTAACACAAAAATTGAGATCGAAATTTATGGGTGCACATTATACAAAAGATATAAAAATGATACATTTAAAAATAAGGAAAAGATAAGCATACAAAAATTACATTTCTACATGTATTTAAATGATGTTTATTTAAAAGAAATGAGATTCCTTAAATTTTCATTATCGGATATCATGAAAAGGTGGTCATGTTCGTCTTCTGTTATTGTCTTTTTAAAATAACTATGGGCTTGAGTTTTTCACTGTCCACTAAGCAGGAAAATAGTACTGTGAGGTGAAATTGATCATGACTTGGTGTTTTCACGTTAATGGTTTTTGTTAGTTTCACACCACTTGATTTCTTATCATATCAAATATTACTGCAATTTCACCCATATTTTCAATATATGACAGTAAATAATTTTTTTGCCTTAATAGATCAATAATATGCTTCTGGAAACTTATCAATTTGTTGTCCAAATCTTTCAGAAGCCTTTACAATTTTCTTTTTTTCTCACAGAACTAAATTATTCTTTGCCTTCACCAGTGGTGGGCAATTGTTTCGGCTTGGAGGCCACTTTGTGGAAGCAGAGGGCTGCATTTTTTAAAATTATTGCATTTATTAGCTAACTTTGCATTTCAGAAAAGGTGTAAACTGTACAATAAAAATCAATAAATATAAATTAAATAAAATAGTTACAGTTTTATTCAATTTATTTATTATACTAATTCCAATTTATACTTTGTGGTGTAGTTTATTTATACTTTGTGTTCCTTAAATGCAGCTATCATTTCATGACACAGTAAACACACTGCTTTATTTCCTATATTACCAAAGAAATATTTGTTCGTACATTCGTCATTAAACACATAACATTCATCACAGATTTTATGCGTTTTCTGAAGATTCATGGTTTCACAAAAGTTGGGAATTTATGTATTTACTGCAGCAAAACAAAATTGAAATTCGCCAGATCTCCTGGAAAAGCACTGCACATTGTGTTAACACCACGCATGCATATTAACGTAGTCATCCTAGTGGAAAATACGATATGAATCTCCGATCATGCACAAGAAGGAAATCTAGGTTCAAGGTGGATTTTTTTTTATTTTGGCGGGCCACAAAAAAACTTTTAACGGGTCGCATACAGCCTGCAAACTGATCTTGGACTAGACCTTCTCAAATTTGCTTTAAAGTTTTCACTTTCATTTGCATTTTTTATTGCCCACTTTAAAGCAAACAAACATACACTGTTTCTTATTACATTAATCCATTCCGGCGATTTCCTAGAACCCAGCTTACAACACTTTTTTTCTAGGATAGGCCATTTTCTTCCACTTGTATGGAGTTTTCACCAATGCCAAATATTCTTGCTGTAGCACATTTTGCATTTTCTTTCATAAATTCAATGCATTTGAAACCAACATTGTGCTTGTTTCATTTGGAAGGAGCCACATTTATTTAAGTCAACTGTATTTCTACTAAAACAGATGCAATTTACTAAAGACTTTGATATTCATTTCAAAACCATGGCTTCAAATGAATACCGAAAGGGAAAACATCTGATTCCTAATTCTTCGAAATCAATTGAGTCAGAAGTGCATTCTTAGCCCCAATTATTTGCCCCTTTTTTTTTAAACTGTAGAATAATATTTTTGTGCACACCTGCATTGAATAAAATCCATCCTCTTTGCAAAATTATTTTTCCCTCCAGCATTTTCCCCATACACATTGTTGAGATCTCCCATAGAGGGCGTTGTAGCACCCCTCAAATGTGTGAGAAAAGTTTCGATTTGAGAGAGAGTTGGCGTGGGTTTTGAGAATGTAGTGTGAAGAGCTGTGTAACACATATTTGCTATGTAACTGTACTATGTAATATAATGTAATTAAATGTATTTATTTAAAATGTGGAGCAATTTTGAAGGAGCATACTTCACATTTTTTTGGAGCCATCAGTGAGGACAGAGTCAGTCTTGGAAGCTGTGGATTCTAGTGGTTTAGTTGCAAGCTTTGTTTGGGAATTTGTGGAATTTTGCAGGAAGTGAAGGTAGGCTTTGTTTGATGTTTTGTTTGAAATTTGAATTGTTGTAAAACGTCGGAATTACCTAAGTTGAGAAAGGAGCGTAGCGCAGTTAGGTCTACGTTAACTAAGTTAATTAACAAAGTTGAAGCTTTTATTATGAAAGATTCTAGTGAGATAGATGTTACAAATAAGGTAGATACTTTAAAGAAATTTCGAGCCCAAATAATAGATAAGGAAACTAATTTAAAACGATTAAACGATGAAGTGAAAAATCTTTGTAATTGTGATATAGAAGAGGAAATTACTGTGTTAAAGGAATATTCAGAAAAAATTATCCTCTGGAAACAAAAGATAACTAATGTAATTGATAGATTAATGAAAGATGAAATGAATATTAGTAACGTAACCTTTTCTATTCCCGCAACTGCTCAAGGTACACTAGAAAACCAAACCTTTAGAGAAACCAAAACAGTTAAACTTCCTAAATTGATAATCAGTAAATATTATGGTGATCCTGCTTCTTGGTTAGAATTTTATAACCAGTTTGAAAGCGCTATTCATAATAACAGTAATCTTACAAAGATAGATAAATTTAATTATTTAAGGTCATATTTAGGGGGTACGGCATCTAATTGTATAAGTGATTTTGCGTTAACAGAAGAAAATTATGATGCTGCTTTGGATATGTTAATTATATAATAAAAGGTAGATTTGGTAATAAGAATACTCTTATACAGACACATTTGAATGAGTTACTTCAAATTCCTATTATTAGAAGTATAAATGATTTAGCTGGATTGAGAAGGTTGTTTGACAAAGCTGATACTCAAATTAGAAGTTTAGAGTTGTTAGGAGTTGAAACAAAATCTTTCAGCACTTTATTGATTCCCATTTTGTTAGAAAGAATTCCAAGGGAACTCGTTTTAGAATTCAATAGAGCGTATCCAGATAGTGATTGGAATTTCAAGGATTTATTTACCTTCTTAGACAAAGAAATACGGTCTAGGGAAAGAACATATTTATTAAGTAGAAAAACTGAAAATTATCATAATTTTGGTAATGAATATAAAAGTAATTCTAGTAAATTTGAAAATAAAAATCTTAATACTAATAGGAATATATCAACTGCTAGTTATACTACAAATGTTAAAAGAAATTGCATATTTTGTAATAGCAAAGAACATGAATTTTGCGAATTTGAAAGTGCTGCGGAAAGGAAAAATAGATTATGAAGAGATAATCGATGTTTTCGCTGTTTTTCAAAATTCCATTTAGCGCGATTCTGTAAAAATAAACTCGACCCATGCAAGAACTGCAACAGCTTAGCTCACCACTCCTTGCTATGCGAAAAGAGTCATAAATCAGCTGAAGTCGAAGGGGGAAAAGAGAATTCAAATGCGGTGACTCAGTGCAGCTCCTCTCATCGGGGGTCAAATGGCAGTGCTTTACTGCAAACTTGTACTGTCTTGGCTTGTTCGAAAGGAAACTTTAAACTATGTCGGATGTTAGTGGATAACGGGAGTGAAAGATCTTGGATAACAAAATCTTCGGCAGATGCCCTTAGCCTTAAAACCATTCGAAAGAAAAAATTGTCAGTTTATACTTTTGGGTCTACGAAAGCCATAAATAGAACTTACAGTGTAGTAAAATTAATAACACTGAGAAATAAGAACGATCCTAAGAAATATATTGAGATAGAAGCATTAGTTACTGAAATGATTACTGCCGCACCCATTGCATTTCCCAATATAAATATTCAAAATATTTTTGAGCAAAAGGGTTTAAATTTAGCTGAGGCATGCACGGATTCAGATGAAGGTATTCACATTTTAATAGGAGCAGATTATTTTTGGGACGTCATTAAAGAGTCGAAAGTAGAAAAAATAACCAAAATGCTAAAGTGCATACAAACTATTTTTGGCCTTACACTCCAGGGCATACAAAATAATTCTGAGGATAAAATTTGGGGAAACATAGTATCGACAAATTTTTGCGTTGGCACTGATATGCAGATACTATGGAATTTAGAATCGTTAGGAATTACAGATTCTAATAAGTTATCAATCGCAGATGAGAATTTGATAAAACAATTTGAAGATAATTTGAGGTTTGTAGATAGAAGATACGAAACTTGTTTGTTATAGGGAATAAAGCCAACGGATTTAAAAAATAACTTTTGTCTTGCTAAAAAAAGACTTGAGGACTTAAAAAACAATTTCGAAAATAATGAATGGTTGGCGAATGAATACAAGGACATAAAGATTAACAAAGTAAAGGAATAACTGAAGAATGTTCTAGGGATGCGAAGGAATATTTCATGCCACGTAGAGCAGTTGTGAGAACCGATAAGGATACTACTAAAGTTTCGCGTGGATTTTCAATTGTAGTTCGAAAAGCGAAACTAAATCTTCTCTTTGAATGATTATTTAGAGACTGGGCCGAATTTGAATCCCAATGTACTGGATGTTATTTTAAATTTTAGGAAATTCAAAATTGCATTTTGTGCGGATATAGAGATAGCATTTTTGATGATTGGAATTTCAGAAGAGGATAGGAAATTTTTTAAATTCTTGTGGTTATCAGAAAATACAAATGAAGACTACAAAATAATGCGTATGACACGTTTGCCGTTTGGTTGTAAGTCATCGCCATTTATTTTAAGTGCAACAATAAAAAGGCACTTAAAGCAGTACAGGAATAATAAACCCAAATGTGTTGAAATGTTGAAATCTTCACTGTATGTAGATGATTTATATTTTGGGGGAAATAGTATTGAAGAGGCATTTAAGCTGTCTTCTGAAGCTGTGTCGATTTTAATGGATGCAAGTATGATTTTACGAAAATTAAAAACTAATTCTGAGAAACTGAGGTCATTGTGGATGCAGAATGGACTTAGCGATGATA